CTTCTTGCTAAACCTGTTCTTTGTTGGTATGTCTTAGTCAGTTGCTTCCCCGGAGCCCTCTGAAGTGCAGCAAAATAAAGTGAGAAAACAGTGGCTTTAGCTGAGATCCTTTGTCCCTTTAATCGTCCCTGAAGCATAAAACAAGATGACTGGTAGATTTTTCTCAAAATCCCTACTAATCAACTACCTCTACCTTGCATCCTTGGTAACTTGGGCAGACAGCAGGAAGATAAAATCCACACAGCTACAAAGCTTGAATTTTTTTTTCCTCAATTTTTTTTAAATAATAGACTTTATTCTTTAGAGCGGTTTTAGGTTTACAGAGAAATTGTACAGAAAATAGAGAGAGCTCCCATCCAAACTTGGATCTTAAACCACAGGAGTTACCATTATAGAGAAAGGAGCCACAGAATCCATGATTCCCAGGATTGTGGATTTCCGAAAGCTGCTGTGCACAGTGCCGTCCCTCAGTGGGCTGTAACAGGAGGGGTCACAAGGTCTAGAAAGACATCTCTGTTCAAGGAAGAAGTCTAGTGCATCGTTAAAACACAGTCCATAATTATCAACGTGCCCTTCTCTTCTCAGTTATGACCTCATGACTCAGCATTTGCCTGTATTCAATATGGGGCATCTCCTTTTCTCCATCCCACCCACCCTCATGTGTACCCTCTGGAAAAACCTTTTTTAAGAATGGAGTTATAATGGCTACATAATAGTTCATCAGGTGGCTTTATCATAATTTCCTTGGCCATTCTTCTGTATTGAGATATTTAAGCTGTTCATGCTCGCTCGCTCGCTCTCTCTCTCGCTCTCTCTCTCACTCGCTCTCTCTCTCTTGCTCTCTCTCTCTCACCATTACAACAATGTTGCAATGAAAATCATCGTCCATAAAGCTTTCCCTTTATTTAAGATTCTTAAGATAAATTCTCAAAACTTAAGCTTACTTGGTCAAAATATAAAGATTTTAAAGATGCTTGATACTTAATGTTCATAATGCTTTACAAAAAAAGGGGAAATTACTCCCATTTTATTTTGGAATCTATAAGATAGCATTTACTCGGGAAGTTTGCCTTCTCGTTGTAATATTGCTTACTCAGTTCATAGTAAAAGGAGTTTGTTTATTGAATTTTATCGCCTGGTGGGGACTGGAGGTGGAGGTTAGGAGAGTCAACCAGATTGGAACTAAAATCCACTGCAGATGATCGTGGGTGGGCATGTCGCTGATAAATAAGCAAAGATGGGAACGTTATTATAGGGGATATAGGGAAAGTATCAAGGTTAACTCCCAAACCCAACTCCCGTCTCAGAAGAAGACAGATTCTGCCTCCGATGCTCCCAAGGGCAGAGGTGCATAGCATCTGTGTCAGGTGTGATCCTGGCAGAGCTTTGACTTAATGTATCAACAAGACACATCTTGTCCTAAAGCTATCTCAGAAGATCTCTTACTCTGCCTCAAGGAGTTGGTGTTTGGACCAGAGTCCTGGCAGCTGCTGTTGCTACCACCGAGGAAACCCAAATGAATACTTACCCTTGCTGTTTTCCTTTGGGGCCTGGCTAAGCCTCTGACTGTTTGTAAGAGTGTCGGCTTAATGCTGGATCATGCCCTAAACCGAGCATGAAGATTAGCCTGTTTCACCCCCAGCCGTGGCCTCTGATTCCACTACATCGTGACCTCCACCACTTCCTGTTGCCCTGTTGCAGCCTCTGTGTGCACCACCCAAGTCTGCAGGCTGCGGGGTGAAGGGGCAGAGAAGGACTGAGCCAAAGAGCGAGACTTGGGAGACTGACACGACCCAGCTGTCAGTCAACATCGCAGACGTTTTAACCAGAAGAAATGTCAGTGGTCATCTCGGTCTCACGGGCCACAGATCTCTTTGATGATAAGGTGAGAGTGGTCACTCTCTCCAGAAAAATGTACCTCCCCAAATTTGGGGTAAAATTCCAAGACATTTCCCAACTCCCTGATATCCATCCATCTGGACTAAGCCTTTTATTTTGCAAATGCGACCCAAAGAAGATGCAGGACCTGTCCAGAGTTACACAGAGGAGATAACTGAATTCAAACTCGGATCTGATTCTCGGTGTAGGACCTGTCAGCCAGTACCCTGACGTCTCATTCTACATCGAGTTCTATATTAGGAGCTATGGAAAGTTAGGGTGCTTACAACCAAGGAAATAGACCTCAGGCTCATGAAAGGAAACTAAGGTCAATTAGTAAGCAATATTCCTGCCATAGATTCCTCTTTGGAAAGTAGATGCTAATGCCTTCCGTTAATTCAGCAGGCACTTATTGAGCACCTAAGAGCATCTCCTAAAATCTCTAATCACTGGGAGATTAATTATTTATCGGAAGTCACTACTCTTTGTAATCTCAAGCGTGAAGAGGATGTTGAGGTCCTCAAAGTGATTACTTGGGGCTTTGTTCAGCTGATGGGAACCCCGCCCTGTAATGTTTACTGCAAAGGTGCTTGGTATTTCATGAACTTCGATGCAAGAATTAAGTGTCACATTAATGGAGACCAGAATCTGAACTGAAGGGTAGTAACTGTGTAACTTCTACTGCAGCCTCAGCTGTTCAAAAGCTCCACGTCTTTTGGGAGTTCCCAGTAACAGCTACTCAGGACATAGATTTTGTAAGTAGCAGGAAGAGAACCAGATTCCAATTTCATCTTTCTAGAAAGAAGCAGGAAGCATTTTTGATGTTTATTTTCTCGGTTGAGTGCCAAGAGGTGGCCTTTGATCACGGGAGGAGCCCAGTGGTGAAGCCTGTAGACTGACTTGGATCTGAGCTTTTCTACTGGCTAGCTTTGTGACCTCAGGCAAAGCTCTTTCTTCCTTGAGCCTTGGTTTTATCATCTGAAAATGAGGAATAATAATACTCTCTTCATAAAGAGTATCTAAGGCTGAGGGAGTTACCCAAGGATAAACAAACTTGGAAGGGGCCCCTCTCACAGCCGGGGCTCAGACTTGGAGAAATCATGGCTGTAGCCCTTGGGATGGCGGAGAAGTTCGCTGGGTTGCCTGGACCAGAGCTGGTGCGCAGTGCTGGGCAGCAGAAAACAGCCCTCCGGGCACAGGTGAGATGAGACTGGTGGCAGGTGTGTAGAATCAGAGCCCCACTGTCAAGGCAAGGCCTGGCTCACGTGCATCAAAGCCTGCATCAGTGGCAGCTGGGACAGCACCACTGAGCATCTCCATTGACATAGTCTGCGACAGAAGTAAAATCCAGACCCAAAGAGAACCCCCTTCTTCTTGCAGGGTCCCCGTAGTACATGGCTTACTGTGCTCGCTATGAAGGAGAGGTGCTTACGAGGTCCCGTCCACTATCTCAGAGCAGAGACAACAGGGTGGCTTCGAAGCTGAGAGGCAATAATATGACTACTGATGATCAAAAATGTCTCAATTAAAGTAGGAAAAGCGACATCATCTGTCCTTAACTCCCTTAACCCTTGTTTATTTCCTCATCTTTACTCATAAATTTTTCCAAGAGTAAATGTCAAATCTCTCATTTCCCTCTGGGGTGTTCCATTCTGTTTTGTTTTCTTAATGAGGCATGCGTCTTTCTTCTCTTGGCGCCCTCTTCAAAAAGATTCATACATAAAAGAGAGAGAAAAACACACACACACACAACCTGAGACCGAGTATTTCATTTCAAAGCAATCCACCTGTCCCTCCCAAACACTTTCATGCGTGTTCCATAGTACTTGAATTCAAGTGGCAGTGGGAAGAATCAGAGCTGATCCAAGAACCAATCTTTCTCCATCTTGAAGGAAAATGCAGTGGCCACCTCGGATCAGACTGGGATTTAATTTCCTTGGACAAATCTGAAGAGTCCAGTCCCCAACCATTTCAGAAAAAATTAAGCGACAAACAGCAGACTTGGAGGATAATTACCAGCACCAATATTATTCAGAAAGCGTTTGGGAAGGGCTGATAGTTTCCGCCTGAGAATCAAACCAAGGAGCATGTAGCAAGTAAAGAGCCTTGCTGTCACTGTTCTGTGAGAGAGCGCATTATTAATAGGCACCAGATTTGTGTCAAGACAATGATCCTAGGCACCAACCACCGTGTTCTTCCAAAGTATTTCATTCCCTTCTGAAGAGTCAGATTTAATTAGTGTTAACAGATGATTCCCCTGCTGGAATTAGCTAAACAGTGACATGGGTATATAGTTAAAACTTCCTCCAAGGATGAAGTGGTTTTGCAAACTTAATCTGTTTACCATCCTTCAAAAGGGCTGGGAAGATCATTCCTTTAAACCAGAAAAATAGCAACTGGAAAAACTAGAGGAACGCAGTCTTTCCACCAAAATTTATATCTGTATATGTGTCTGTCTTACACATTTCTTTGCAAGTGATGGATGTTCTGGGCCTAAGTAGACTGGCAGGAAGCCATCTCAGTATCGTTTCAAGTTCTTACCCCTGAGTGTACCAATGAAATCATGCTCTTAAATGATCGAGAATAATACTGTGTTTATTCCTGGGAATTGGGATTGTGGACAATCTTTATGTTCTTCTGTTTATCTGTTTTTACTATGGTGAGCAAGTATTATTTGTGAAATTAAATATATACGAAAATTTTAGTGGGGGGAAAAACACATTTTTTTCTTCTCTAAATCTCGGGCTGTATTTCTGCTTTATGCCTCATATCTAGTCAGACCTTTTTTAGTCTCTTCACCTCCTCTGTTCGGATTAACTGCCAAAAGTCAGCAGACATCATTTTTAGAAGAGACTTTTGGAAGAGATTTATTTCTTCATTCTCGAATCTCTGAAAACAGCCTTTTCCTTCTACCACTCACCAAGCAGTGATCGATGCTACACTTGCCTCTGATGTGACAAAATGTTGTGAGCAGGCGGAAAGCACTAGCCAGGGACGCCGGGCCATGTGAAGATGCTCTGTGTGGTGTTATTCTGCCGCGGGCACAGTTGTGCCAACCTGTGGACTCCTTGAGGATATCACCTAGTGCCACTAACCTTTGATATGTTGCCCTGCTCTTTCAGATTTTTGACAATGAAGCCAAAGACCTAGAGAGAGAAGTTTGCTTTATTGATATTGCCTGCGATGAAATTCCAGAACGTTACTACAAAGAATCTGAGGTAAGCAATAGATGGGATGACGTGTGAAAGAGGTTTATTCATTCATTCAACAAATATTTTTACGTCCATCCTAACCTGGGAGACTTCCATCTGTCTTTGTGTTGATTCAGTTTGGTTTCACATCGTGCTGGATTCTTAATTGCCTGTCTCAAAATTAAGTCCCTGTTCCTTAGGGCCCACCATTGGCCCCAGCCACCACTCAGTTTAAACTGAGTCTTCGTATCTCCCCAACTCTGCCATCATTCTGGGCAGCAGAAGAGACACAAGGCTGAATTATCCAACATACTGGTCTCCCACAAAACAGCAGCCACCTCTGGCTTCCTGCTCTCCCAGCCTTCTGCACAGCCTGTCTGTCTGCATGCTTCCCGAGGGCAGGGGCTGTGGTGTTTTTTTGTTTGTTTGTTTGTTTGTTTTTCTTTGGGGTCCAACACAAAGAAAATGCTCAGTCAGTCCACTCAGTGAATATTGAAAACTTGGGTGGCTCATCCTGGCACCAACCTTTTTCTGAAAGCCAGAGGCACCTTCATAGGGCTTCTTTTTCCACCTTGACTGAGAATAAATTTAAGAGAATATCTGTGGCTTCCATCCTACCAGAATCCCTTGTTTGCCTCAGTCTGACCTTTTCACTTTACTGTTGGTGCGAGTCATCATTTATATCCCATTAGTACTGTATTAATGGCTGCTGACGGAACTTGGGTGATCCCCTTGTAAATAATGTCCCAGCCTTGCAAGGACAGCAGATGCACAGCTATTTTTGTTGTTTAGCAACATGCGGCCAATCACAGTATGTTTGGGCTCAGGACCTAGACTCATCCTTGAGCCATAACGCATGGACCTTGAAACTCTCCTCTCAGATTCATTAAAGCCGATGTAAGACACGATAAATAAACCCATTAAAAATAAATTCCACTGTGGCATCAACTGAGCTCCCGAAGTGCTTCAGGTTTTTTTGCCTCCATATATTGGGATTCGTTTGGATGTGAGTTGAACCTGATCTTAGCTGAGCCGCTTAAATTGCAGGCAGGTTGCTCTGCAGCTGCTGCCCCTTCTAAGACCGGAAGAGGCTGATGTGAATCACTCTCGGTTCGACTCAAAGGCCGAGTGTTTTAGTACCACCAGTTTACACTACACCCTGCAGCCAGCCACACTCAGGAGTTTTCAGAAACTGCGTAACTGTGGACTTGCTAAATAGAGATAGAAACCTGGCCGCCCCTTGTCTCATTCTGTGGAGGAAACACTTCTGTGGTTTCGTATCGAGTCCACCCATTCTGATGGGGCTTCAGCGATGTGTGGAGCATCGTGCTGCTGGTCCGTGACTTCCGTGGCATCTTGGGCCTGGGGGTGAGGGGCCATCCTTCCTGGACATCCCGACCGATTTGGGAAATCGGGCCTTCCAGGAAGGCAGTGTCACCAGAAAACTTTGAACTAGTTTTAGCTCTTCCTCTTAGATTGCTTTGGGGGTGGCCCTGCCTGTGACTCAGGGAGTTCCCACCTGATTCTGTGGAACATCTTAGGACAAATATGGAATACTAATGATGAAATCAGCAAGTGTCATTTCTAGTCAGCGGTGCCTGACTCATTTTTCTGTGCTTCGTGCTCCCAAGAACTGCCATTGGAAAGCTTCTTTACAATTACACGGACATTCTTCATGCTTTAGTAGTCATTTATTTCTCTGGATCATAAAGTATTCTTTTCTGGATGCAGTTTGACCAAGGAAATGAGAGGTAAATAGTCATTCATCCAATAAATATTTACCGAGTATATCACATACAGCATTAAAATGGATCATAGCAATGGGCAGAAGAGACGCTGAGGGTCCCTTCCCTCAGGACACTTCTGGTCTAGCGTGGGCACCAAACAAGAAAGAAATAATCACACGAGAACATATGGAGGTAAAAGTCACAAGTGCCGTACGGAAGCCCCCAGCGAGAGACCGTGACAGGGAAACTGAATGGAAAAGGATGGGATCAGAAAAGATGTTCTAGAAGAAGTGACATGCTGAGACCCAGCGGATGAAAAGAGGTGGGGGCCAGTGCCCCAGGTGGAGGTAACAGCATGTGTGGGAGCCCCAGGCGACACATATGAGGAAGCAGAAGCAGGCCAGCATGGCGGTGACAGTGCAAACGAAAGGAAGAATAGCACAAAGGGAGGTCGCAAAGGCCGTGTTAAGATACTGAGACTTTATTCAGGTGCAGTAGAGTGACTTTTAAGTAACTAAATCTTATGATCTGATTTGTGCTTTTACGAGATCGCTCTGGATGGAGAATGGCCTGGAAGGGAGCAGAGTGAAAGTCAGGAAACCGCTGACGTCACTGGAATGATCTACATTATTGGTTGTTTAAGGTGTGTGGCGGCTTGAACTGGAGGGCTGGGAGCACGTGGTCTTGAGGTCTGTTTTGAAGACAGAATTGCCAGGGATTAGTCATGGACTGGACACGAAGATGAGAGAAAAGAAAGAGTTAAGATGACCTAAGATTTATGGCTTGGACAATAAGATAGGTGGGGTGAGAAGCGAAACGGATTTCTGGAGAAAGATAGATGGATTCTGTGAGGCCAATGAGACATCTAGAACAAACAGCAGTGAGTCTGGAGCTTAGATGAGAGATCTGGGCTCAAGACAAATTTGAGAGTGTTTGGCAAATAGAAGATATTTAAAATCCTGGGGACGGATGAGAGGGAGAAAGCATAAAATGTAATGGGAAACGGGATCAGGTCCAAGTGTTGAGGGATGGCAGCACTTGGAGATCAGGGAGAGGACAGGGAGGCCCCAGAGATGCGGCCAGGGAGTTAGAAGGAAAACACGGAGCGTGCACCAAGGAACACAGGTTTCCAGCTGTGCGATGGAAAACTGCCCTCCAGAAAAAGGGTTCTCAGCAGGTGCGATCTTGCCCCACAGGGATGCTGACAATGTCTGGAAACATTTTTTGGTTGTCACAACTTGGAGGTGCTGCCAGCAGCTAGTGCTTAGAGACCAGGGATGCTGCTAACCGTCCTGTAATGCACAGAACAGCCCCAGAGCGAAGCATTGTCTGGCCCTAAATGTCAGTAGTGCCCAGGCTGGGAAACCCTGCCCTAGAGGAAAGGTCATTGGAGACAAATGGAACTCTGGATTCAGGTCTCACACTCAGAGCCACCCCTCCTATTAAAATACTTAATGGATAAGGAAGAAAGAGGCCCTGGAGTGCCCAGCCCTGTGCACTCTTTGTCAGGTTCTGCTCCCCAGTGGACCGCCGACCTGCGTTACCGAGAGAATTCTTCCTCACTAGCCCTGCAGTTAGACCACAAAGGAAAAGACATAATTGGGAGCCTGCAATGAAATCTTAGGAAGAGTGTGCTCCGTGGGACTCCCTTGTGACCCCAACCTCTCTGTCGTTCGAATTCCAGAATCCAGACTGCAGTGTGAACCCACCAGAAGGGAGAGAAGTCAGTTTCCAATACTGTGTGGGTTGAGCGTCATTAGCCAGGGGCTTAGGATAAGGGGAACGACCGATTCAGAAGGCAGACCATTTCCAAATAAATTGCTACTTGGCACACTGTAAATAATTAACATTCCACCCCCACCCCCAACCCGCCCCCACCACTAGAATTTCCTTCTGCAATGAAACCTGACCTTGCCATTTTCTGCTCAAAACCCCTCACTGGCTGGGAGGAAGCCCAGTCCCTTAGCATGGCACTCTGCCTTCTCCACTCCACCATCCTCCGCATCCCTGTGCCATTCAGCTGGGGAGCGTCCAGTCATTCCTCTCTAGAGGTCAGCTCAAACATGACCTCTCCTGTGCTTGCCTGGGCAGTCTGCTCCCCAACCTGTGTCCACGGAGTTCTGGTCAGTGGCTTCTAGCTCATGCTAACTCATGCTAGCTCGTATTATAACAAGAGCTGTCTTCTTTATCACCATACCTCAGCAGCTAGTACAGCACCAGCACTTAGCAGATGCTCACGAAACAGTTGTTTTTGCAAATGAGTAAGAAAGCCAGGGGCTTTGTTTTTCCCCCACCCAGCAGCCACAATTTCAGAGCAATGCCATCGGAGAAAATGGATTGGTTGCCATTAAACTAACAGTTGTGAATTAGAGTTCCTTTTTTTTTTTTTATCCAAAGCACACAGCTTTATGGGCTTTTTTCTTCCCATCTATCTTCATAAGTCGACTATGTCAGCATCATAAATATAAACACGTTTTCTGTGGAGAAAGCTGAAGTGCTAGCAGGCTGAATCTGTTCTGAGATCTTTGATGCTCATGAATTCGGACAAGGGTTATCTGGGTCACTCCTCCCCACCCAGTTCCCGTCACACACTGTGTCATCCGGGCCAGACGAGGGGATTAAAGCACCTTCTTTTCGTTTTCCATTTCTCCTTGGAAACCTGTGAGCCACACAGTCAAGAATGCCTCTCTTCTTTGGTCACTGGAGCTGGAAATTTTCCACTGGGTGGCCTCTGCCTGATGGCCCATGTGCCACCCCTAACCAGGGGCACAGAAGGACGCTGGAGACTTGGGATCAGCTGTTCTCCTTACTCTCTTTTGCGGTGCTGCTGGTTCCAGTCCACACCCAGGGCCTTGGCTTCAGCTCCCCAGAGCCTCTTAGTCTCCAGTTCTGTTTTCTCGTATCCACGGTAGGACTCTGCAGGGCAGCACTAAATCGTCAAAAAGAAAATTCGGTGTGTTTTCTTAGACCCAAAGAGCACCTTCCTCAGTCTCAACACAGTCCCACCAAGGTCCTGTCCCACATCAGTCATAAGGCTCTTTGAACTGAGCCACATTAGCGCCAAAGCATCAGATAGGAGATGGAGCCAGAATCTGAGCAGATCGTCCTCGTTATGTAGTTAATACACGGGTTGTTGCCTCAACCAAGATTTCTATCCTGATACTTTGAAGCTCTGCCAAGATTTCAAAGTGAAGATCCCAGCCCAGGAATGAGGAACTCTGTACTTTAAGTTGCAGATGCCCGCAGGGGCACGGGCAGTGAGCCTGTGCTGGGGGAGGGTGCAGGAACACATCTCAACAT